ACAGGGAGGGGGCATGGCTGGGCAATCAGCTCAGCTGGCAGGCCAGCTGAGGAGGAGTGTGTGGGGGAGGACAGAGGGCCCCCCCTCCTGGCTCTGGATCCCCAGCAAGGCTGCGCCTGGCATGGCGGGAAGCCCGGAGTGGGGGCCATTTAATTTCCCAGTCTCTCTTCAGCCAGCCTTCTGGCCAAAGAGGGGCCATGGCCAGGTGATCAAGCTTCCCCACAGCTGGCATTCAGGGTGCAATGGGGGCTTTACTCCCCGTGCCGAGGCCAGGAGTCAGGGCAATCACCCAACCATGCTGACTCCTCAGCCAGCAGGCCAGCTGAGGCAAGAGTAGAGGGAAAAATAATGGCCTCCACTGGGAGCTTCTGTCCCCCCTTCCCCAACACCAGAGAGACCCCGGCTGGGGGTCTGGTGGGAGGGTTCCCCCAACCCATGCTCCCTCCTCAGCTGGCTGGAGGCTGAAGATGGGGCATGGATGGGGGAATTGCTGTTTCCTGGCTCTCTGCTGTGGCCATTAGGCTGGGAGGCATGCTCTAGTACCCCCCTGGCTTCTGGTATGGGCCACTGCAGGGGTCTGGCTGCCTTTCAGGTTTGAAAAGTGAACATCAGTTCACCTTCTAATTAGTTCAATCTAGGCAGAGACTGAATCAATTCAGTCTCGGTGTTTTTGACTGTCTGTACTCAGCCTTAGAGTCATGGGCAACTAGTGCCTTCAGAGTCTGAGGGAGCACCAGTGCTGGCAGCAAAACTGGAAGTGCCGGCGCCAATCTCAGGGGGGGCACTGGCCAGCGCTTCACTCGATGCCCCCGCTCCCTGGCCAGTGAAGGCCAATCTTGGGGAGGGGAGCCACGTGCCCTGCCCCCCCCCATTCCTCCCCTACGCGTTGCCTATGCTTAGAGCTCTCCCAAGCACTCCTCAGGTGCAGCAAGCATTCTGGGTCCTAATCTTTGTTACAGATGGTCTTGCAAAGTGCTTCAGATGCATGGCAAAGGAGACTGCCCTATGCACCTTGCCTCAATGCACTGAATACGACTCCTGTAAGGGATGTACCACTATAGTTCTGAAAGTTTTCCACAGAACCAGGAAACAGTGCAGTGACACTGGCTAAGGCACAAGACAACCCGACTCTATGTTCCTAGACAGTGGTTACTGAGAGAACAGAGATATTTAGAAGAAGCCTTCTAAATTTTGTGGGCCTCCCCCCCACCCTGAATTTAAGTAAAAATATTCCAACCAGGCTTTGGTTTGCATGAATTGCTAGAATTAGTCACACCACTGTTTAAAAAGGAAAAGTAAAGATATTTATGTAAGAATCAAAGTATTTAGAGGCACTGCATATACAGTAAAGCATGTCTAAGCAAGTGGCTGACACCTAATGGAGGGAGGTCCAATAAAAGGTCAGACCAAATTGTACTGGAAATCTCTGTGCTACTTTTAAACTAAAAATGTTGCCTGTTGCCAGTGGCCTCTAGTGCAGTTTTCACTGTGTTTAAATGGTAGCTATTCATTGTTGGATAATTATCCTGTTTTATTTTCCTATTTATTTATTGAGTAAATCAAACTAATAAAAACCCAACCCACAATTGCCATGGGAACACTCCAATGAGGACAGATGCGCTGCAGGGCTGGGAGAAAGGAAAGAAAGCCAGCTTCAACTTTATTAAATTATACACAAAGCAATCAATACAACTTAACACAAACAGTCCTTGCAGGCTCTGCACTATTCATGCAGGGAGCTCAACCACTACCTTTTGCAGTCCCCCACACCAGTAGTGACTGCTGTGCCAGGAGAATGCAGGGGCAAGGCCTCCTTTCTCCTCCATCAGAGTTGGACTTTCCTGCAGCTAGCCCCTGTTCAAGACTCTCAATGTGAGAGTCATGCTCTTCTATCTCCTGCCCTTAACTCTGTGAAGCAGTCAGAATTTACACTGGCTGAACCAAAATTGGGTTTTAAATCTGCTTAATTAAAATATTGTAAACCTTTTTTTCTGAACACCTTTAAATCAGATTACAGCAGATTTCATAAATTTCTGTTGCTTATTTGTGTTATTGTCTTTTCAAATGCCACAACCCACAGTAATATAGGAAAATAAAATCTAGAGGAAAGAAAAGACTGTACTGTACAGAGGAACCCCTCAACCTCCTCTTGACTTTTCTCTTAATCTCCCCACAGTGTAGAAATTGCTATGGAAAAGAGTTTCCTTCCTTTTATGTTGTTTAAATTTAAAAGCAGGTTTTAATCTCCTGAGCTTTTTGTCTTCTGGGCGCTAAGAAGTATTATAGTAATATGCTGCAGGAAAAGAAGACAGCA